AACCAGAAGGAGGAAACTGCAAATAACAAGATTTGGTCATGTTTGATTCATGAAACTGGCGTGGCAGGTCCTGCCGACCCCACCCTCCACCATCCTCCACCACCTCACCCAATTGAACAACAATGGGGAAGTAAACACGGCCAAAGTTACAGTTGCTCCAGCCATGGCAACTGAAAGCCAGAAACTGAGTCTGAGTTTCACACAATGCCATAGAATCAGCAGCTGCTGCAGCTGAAGCTGCATACAAAAATCCTTTTTCACAAAAAAAAAAAAAGAATCCTGTCGGGTGTAAAGTTTGTGCAGGACTCGGCAGGAGCAGAGTTAATCATACGTCTGACAGTAAAAAAGTAGCCAGAAAGGGACGAGTCTGCCATTTTTGCTGCTAAATTGAACTTGCATGTGGCATCAAATTGCGCATACGCCCCGTAAACCGTCGTAACCGACCATCGAGATGGGCTGAGCCATAAAGCATGGTGAGTAATGCTGAAATTCAAGGCTTACTCTAAGTCGAGCATAAAATGCAAGCGGCTTTTCCAGAAAGCAAGCCAAGCACTCGATTACGCTTCTTCTCCATAAAGTGGGAGCGTTTGGGGCAATTAAATTCCGACTGCGACGATGATGGGCGGAGTGAGCGAATATAAATTAAAAGAGATAAAAATTCCATAAAGATGACAAAAATCGGGGAAAGCAACAACAAGAAGACAAGTAAAGGGAAAGCCAGAGACCATAAATAAGGGGAAAAACAGCTAAAAAATGGAGAGGAAACGGACGTACAAGGGGCGGGGTACAGAAGATTCACAAAATGGCGGCGATGGCGTTGACAACCAGGCCTTAAGTCAGCTTTTGTGGCGCTTGGCAGGCGAAACAAAAGACGCGCGAAAAGAACAAGATATTGGGATATCTAAATTACCGTTGTCACGCACCTAAGCACACACTCACACACACGCACAGCCACAGCAAACACACAGACAGACTGACACACACACAGCCAGGAGGAGCAGCAACTGGCATTGTGTCAGCACGGAAACCAAAGTGAAAACCTTTCATTTCATATCTGCCGACCCACACCCGCCCTTTTGACGGTCGAGTTCCATTGACTGAGCGAACAAACGCTGAGGAAATGATAATTTTCCGCTTAACAGGATACACGATAAAAAAAAAACCCACACACACACACAACAGACTCGAGCCCACAAAAGACTCTGTCATACTCAGAGGCATCTAACTTTCAGGCTTTGGAATAATATACGAAATGTATTTAAAGTCTCACACAATAGATTCTACTTAAAAACTCTTGATTGGCTGTCAAGAATTCTTCATTTTAGTGACTCAATATACGTATATGTAAGCTTGTATGATTAATGATATAAGTACAAGTCATATCAAAGTTAGCTAGAAATTTCTCACTCTGCATGAAGTCATCTTTGGAATTTGGATGCCGAGACACATGTACAGGAAACGAAATTGAAACGCTTTCAATTAACTCTTCGGGCTTAATCTCTGTCACATTAGCACGAATCCGGCATCCTTATTTCAATTAAGTGGAAGTGATGCGTGTCTGAAATATTCATCAAGGCCAAAGGTCCAAGACGCCGGCAAAGGGCATAATCAGTTGCTGTATACGGTGAATAATTCAAAAGTGTAGGATAAAGGTTCCACATTCGAGCCTGTAAGTTTGTGAGTCGTTTAGAGCACCCACACATGCCCCGAACTCATCTTCATCTTTTGCTCTTCGATCGAACTTAATTTCCATTTCAATTTTCAACATTCATTGAGGTCCTTTTGGCTCTTGCTCCTAGCTGCCGCTATCAGCCCTGGTTCCGGGCCAAAAACTACATCCCATATACTCGTACTCACACTCGTACTAGCCTTGGTAAGCTATGGGGCGCCGTTTTGGCTCTAATGGATTTCCAAGGCGGGGCATAACAATTTGTTTGTGGGTTGAAACTGTTGCTGCCACAATGATTATTACCATGATAGCGCCGCTGATGGCGATGATGGCGTTGGGATAATGTGATTTTTCTCGGCGATTTCCCAGCCAGCCTGCAACATCGTTGCCGTTTTCATGCCAAGGCAAGCATACAAATTACATGACAATGCTATACTCAGTACAGTCCTTATCGAGTATGGGAGAAACATGGCCCGGCAACTGTTGGCCAAAAAAACGAAATCACTTGGCCAAATGTTTGTTCTGCTGATTGGCCACGACTTAATCAAGCTCTGCGTCAGCATTTTCATTCATTGAAAGATTGATTGATGCACTGACCGATTGCCTTCGCTTTATACTCCCCCCGGTCCGTGTCCAAACATCTGGTGTGGTCCGTCCATCCAGCCCGGCATCTATCCATCCATCAGATGTCGAAACCTGCCAGCGACACACGGCAAATTGTCGATTCCAGTGGCAACTCTTTTGCCACCCTAACTGGCCGACTTGTTTCAGTTAAAGTTCTCCCCCGACCCAAGGCCCAAGCACAGGCCAAGTTTGGCAGCAAATACATAGTTTGTGCAACAACACCCACTTCCCTCCTAACCGACTTTTGATATGGCAATGGCGAACAACTTTAACAGCGCTATCTAAACCAACTTTGGCATGTCAGGGTCTTCTCCTTCCGTTCTGCTAGGTTCTGCTGAAAAATCAATACCAGCCCTGCGACATAATACCCCACCCACGCATATTAATGCGGCACGCAGCTGCTTTTCCCCCAAAAACTCCGTTCTGGGATGTTCCTCTGGGAGGGCCAAAAGCAACTCTATCCGTCCGGAAAGTGGTAATAACGTGACCAGAAACATGCTCCAAATTCTTTACTTAAATTCTCAGTTTGCTGAATTCATAAGATTGTATTTTAAAGCATATTTAAGAATAGATAAGCTTATTCAAGCTCATATATTATCCGAGCTCGTCGCTTCAAGCTAGATTAGCGGGCGGTGTTAATTATTATTTATCACTCGAGAGATTCGCTCTAGTGGAAGAGATATGATTGTGTATTTGGCTTGACAACTACTCGCATTAGCTTCGACTAGATGACTGCATCTATTTTTGTTGTCATTTTACGACAATGGAAGCCCCACAAGAAAAGGCTATTAGTCAAAAACGGGACGTGACTAATGCTACCCAAGTTCAGAGTTCCATCGAGGAGCTGCAAAAATCTGCAGATGTACATACAGATATATCCTGACATTTAAAGTTCCAGCGATTTAAAATCTAATCAATGTCATTGCCAGCCTTTGCTGATGATGCGTTGAAATGTGATGCCATGCCGGGAGGCCTTGATTGCATTACCGCCTGACTGGCCAGCGAAGCGAATTCTGTGTCGATGCCTACGGGCGATATGGAGCCATAATTGGCAGATGAACCGACGCATCAGCGGTCTCCATCCAACATGGCTAAAATCGACACACACACACACACACACCCATTAACTAGGTGAGATACGACCTGGATTGCGTAGTCTACTTTCAGGCGGGCTGCTTAAGAGCCGTTTCCGCTTCACGTTCTCGCTGGAGATATAAGAGAAATGTGCGCCTTGTTGCTCTGCTGCTTAGTCGAGTGGCTCGAACACGCCCATTAACGCCCACTGGGGGCTTTCAAAAGGTTATACTGGAAGAAAATATGGGTATTAATGAGGCTGAATCTAAACTTTTCTTAACCTAAGTAAGTTCTTCTGAGTGAGAATGTAAATATTCCAAAGGATATTATTTTTGAAACATTTTCCTTCAGTGGATTTGCTAAACGTCCGACTATTTAAATCTTAAATCAGAGCTTTATTCTCGACCCCTTTGCGTATCCTTGCAGAAGTGTGAAATACAGTTATAAATAAATAAGAATGCTCAAAACACACACCCAGCCTGGCATAAAAAAAAGGATATTGTTAAATAATAAACAGTTTACGCTCTGACAACACACAACAGGCGTGAAGTCGCAAGGCGGTGGCGGTGGCGGTGGGTGTGTGGGAGGGCGGCCCGTTCAACTGTCAACACAACATGATACACATCTGCACCACCAATCCGCACACATACACACACACTAACACTGTTACGCACTCACACATACACACCACACATCAGATAAGGACACTCTGGCACTGAGAAGTTCTGTGACAAGAAGGCATTTCAAATCGACGACTCGCATAACGACCGTCATCAAACTTGTTGTTGTTATAACGTCACAGTCCCCGAAACAGCAACAACAACAGCAACAAGGACAATATCCAAATGTCGCCAATAAACGGCAGGCAGAAATATGCTGACATCGCCAACTGTTCCCACTCGATCCCCGTATTAAACATGTCATTTTCCGTCACCGTTGTTGTAAGGACTGCCATTGTATCCCCGAAAACATCGAGCGGCGAGCACCGAAACCTGTCAGGCTATCCCTTGTTAGCATAACGAATCCAAATACCTCTGTCACGGCAGCCTGACAAATCTAGTACTTCCCCCCCACCCCCCTGAAAAGGATATTGCCAACTAGAGACCAAAAATCAGAGCTGGAAAAAGTGAAATGGATTTAAACTTAGTAATCGGTTCAGGTTTCAGGAGGTGTGTGTGTGCGTAGGGCTTATGGCTGATAACTTTGGTTGTGGTTGGCCGGGCATTATGATAAATATTTAATTTGTCAGCCATTGCGGTGACCAAGCTATGACGTTTGGGCAATGGCTTACTGGGACTCAGTATCAGTAATTGCACAATTGTGGATGGTAACTTAAAAGATAGGCCGTGACGCTAGACTCTCAAGAGTGTGTCCTCCTTTTGATTAAAATTGGATCATATAACACTTATTCCCCGTGTAGAAAGAACATCAAGATGAAGGGTTGCTATCAGCGTAATTGCTGTTCAGTTATCGCCAACTAAAACGAAGCCACTATTGTATTTCTCCCTATCGAGTCGCCGTATCTGAGGCCGCTTCGTGCGTCATAAACATAGAGTACAATAGTCTATATATATTTTATATACCTATGGACAGGGGCGATCGTGGAGAGTGCTGGGGGAGTGGTGGGCTTGAGATATCTGCTGCCAAAGTGGCGATATAGCAACGATCCACATGGCACGCGATCCGTGTGCGGGTGCGGATGGGAATGCGAATCGGCTCTGATTTATACTTCATGAATATCAAAATCGAAACGGACGCTGACGCTTTCATTAAAAGACACACACCGAAAGGACCGAGAGCGGACCCCAAGGTGAGTCCCCACACCGCCTCCCCATCCGACCGAGCCAGTGCCCGTTGCCAGACCGTTATCTCATCGCTGGTGCCGGTAGAGCTGTCAACGGACTTCGGCAACTGGATGAGCGGCAAGCTTAGTTGCTTGCCAGGAAGCAAGCGAAAGCCACTGACCAACCGGGCGAAGGAGACTATGCATTGACACGTCTGAGGAAAAGTGCAGGGCGTTCTATTCTCCACAGCCACATTCTCCTCAGGCCAGTTCCAGCTGTCTCCAGTGGATTCCCTACTAGTAACTGGCCCGTGACCATTCCAGACCATCCCCAACCAAAGTCCAGAAAAAATTCCAGAGTGAGTATGTCCCCAGGGACAAGTCCCGAACCCACTCTACCACGCGAAGTACTATTCTGATGGGAAAAATAGCATTGAGCTTAGGAAACCCTCCCATTATACCCTCCCAGTAGGGTGGGCCTGAAGGCCGTCCCCGCAGTAAGATTTGTCCCCCTATCTTTGTGGTATTTTTAGTGCTATTATTTTGATAGCAGGTGTATTTTTGCGAGCTGTAGCGATATGTCGAGATGTGGAAATAGAAATGAAATAGAAAAGCCGCTTAGCCGAGAGAGGGCTAAGGAAAATATGCGAATAAATTATGTGTTTGGCCACCAAGCATATAGCCACATAGCCTCATAGCCACATGAAATGCTGTAATCCTCACATGTCTGGCTGGCATATTGCGAATCTGGGGAGCATTCTCGTCTTTTGTTCGCAATGAAAGTGTTCTTGAAAAGCCAACAGCACACGGGAAACAAAATTAGCCAGATCTTTGCTTGGCTACCAAAATGATTGCCTGCATTTTGTTAAACTTAGCCAAAGGCCGCAGACAATAATAAACAAACCAGAAAATGCACTGCCCACCACACTATGAAAAAATAAATCAGCCCGATAGCCAAAACCCATCAAAAAAACACACAATTATTAACCAAAAAGTCATCGTAGAACTATGTATTTAGGCCCAATATCATGATTGTAAAGGTTTAGAACTTTAATTATACGATTCTTCTATTTGAAATAAGATGTTTTATTTAAATAACATAATTTTCGTGCTTGTTTGCTTGTTTTACAATTAGAGATTATGTGTGTTTGTTATTTTTAGAATGTTTCAAATGTACCTCTCATGTGGCATTTGCTTTTCAAAAAATCTATTCAAATTTTAAAAGTGCGAATCCCAAGCAATAGCTAATGGATAAACATTCGATTTAGGAACATTAAGCAACTCGAGAAAATAAATGCTTAGTGTATGTTTTTTGTAGAGTCCATAGATTTATTTTCATATATGCTCCATTGACCTTTCGACACTCTACAGCTGGTCCAATAATTTCTTTTTCAACTAATTTTTTGTCATATTCCGCCCAATTTCCCATCGTAGGTGGCTGGCTGGCAGAACCGCAAAAAAAGCACCGGGCATGAAACAAAGCCAAAATAATTATGAACCACTGGGGGGAGACATGCCAGAGAAATGCCGACAAAGAGGGGACACTTTTTGGGGATAGACAGACAGACAGACAGAGAGAGAGGGAGAGCAAGAGACCAGACCTGGCTAGACGAAGCGAAGCGATTGGGGCGATGGGAGACGAGAGAGAGGCAGTTGGACCCCAGAGACAGGTGGCAATGTGGGGATACTGGCGGAGGATTAGTCGTGCGATTGCGATTGTGATTGAGATTTCGATAGCGTGGAATCCGAAATCTTTGCCAGGCAGACGATATGAGCAAATGGGGTGGACTTTTGGGTTAAATACTTGGTGAACATCTGAACAGGGAACTCAGAGTTTTCAGCCAGTTTGATTAACTAGACATGGGGAATGTGCCATGAACTTGAGGCGAGAAAGGCGGAAAATTGGATCACACGTACTAGGATGGTTGTGTGAGGAAAAAAGTAAACAAATTGCCGTTCGTTCGATACCGCTCATCTATGCATTTCCCGAACCACTCTCGTTATTTCTATTTTCTAATTTTTTGTCTAATTTTCTATTGCCATTTGAGTTCACATGCCCCTCGTTCTCATTCCCATACCCATACCCATACCCATACCGATACCCATTTCTATTCCCATTTCTATTTCCACCTTCATACTCTTTCATATTCGCTCAGTTTCAGTCGCAATCCTTGGCGAAACGCGGCGCGTTCAATCGCCAGACGCTCGTCTATTTAATTTTTTGTGTTTGTGCTAATTATACATAAAAAAAAATTAAGAAACTAAGAGCTATTTTAGTTTTAAGGAGCATTGGCTTGATAAATAAAGCGATTCAAGGAAATGTAAGCAGTTCCGGAGGCGAGCCTGGCCCCGGCTAAGGGCGAAGCTTTTTAATTAATTTGCAATCTCTCAACTCGACGTGCAACAATTTTCCAATAATGGCCAAATGCAATTTACCGCTGGAACGGAAAATGGAAAGCGGGGGCGAAAAAGGAATCAGGGGGAAAAATTGGAATGCCCGACCAGCTGAAGCAGCATATGTTCTCGGCTCCCAGGGGCGTCTGTTTGTCTGCGCTCCCCTGCTCATCTTCATTTGCTTTCTCCCTGTGCAGCGCCCCCCATTTCTCCTCATCGCTTACCAGCTGTTTTTTTTTTGTTATCTCTTTCACTCTGTCCCCCCAATCATTCCGTCTCGCTCTATGCCTATCCTATCTATTCATCACAGACATACGTACTTATATCGCTGCTGCTGTCAGCTCTTGTTGTAATTGCTAAATTAATGCAAACGTTGATGATTATCTTAGAGCCAGCCCCTTCGTCATAAACCATCGGGCATATTGATTTATTGGATTTTGAAGCCAGTGACAAAAGCTCTAGCCACAGCATACTACCAAAAATATATACATACCACTAAACTGAGCTGTAAATAATCAACAAGTCATACTTTTAGTACGCCAGTTGCGATATTATAGAAAATATATAAATCGTATAATATAATTCGAAAAATCGTATAATTCAAAGAACTAATAAATAAACAAATAAAGTAGCATTTGTAGTAAAAATAATATTTGTTAGTTAGTAATTAAGCCAGATATCATTACAATAAGGCTTAAAAAAAACCAAAAAATAATAAATAATAACATTCCGATTCCGTGTTTTGAACTCAGAACCCTTCCACGGGGTTCATACCATGTTTTTTGGTACTATTCTTCAACTGGCTATATCTTTTTTAATTTTAATATTTTTCACTTTAAAAAATTTACATAATGACTTGAATATATGCTTAACATTTTGTACAAAATTTAAAGTTCTATCTTTTCATGGGTCAAAGAACTAAATTCCCAAAAATCATCTACAAAAAATGCTTCAACACGGCATGACCCCCTTAAGACGCCACTGGGGCCTCTCTCTTCCAACAGCTTGCGGGCGCATTTCTCCACACTTGACATTTCTTTTCTTCCTCATTTATCTTTGGTTTGGCCTGTCAGTCACTTGTTGGCTTTTTATCGCCATCCAACATTTATATGAACCTTGTCCCTCGTTCGTTTCTGCCCATCTGGTTCCGGTTCTCATTCCCGTTATTGACATTGGCGAATTATGTATGCACATTATCGATTTTGGGAATATCGCCCCCGCAGCAATGCACTTGCACTCTGCTCTTCACTCTACGATTTCAATTGCAGGAAAGTTTCTTCAACTGAATTTCATTTCATCTCTGTCTGGGTCTGCTTTGGATTTCCTCGGAAAATGTGCTTTGTTTGCCCGTAGTTTTCCGCCAGCTCTGTTGAATTTATAGCTGCATTTTGTTTATGTTTTATGCTGTCTATTTACGTATTTAATTTCGTTTTCGTGCAAATACACAAAACAGCTGAAAACAAGTTGCCTGGCAAAGCTCAAAGCCCCCCAACACATAGCAGGGAAATAAAGCGGAACAAAAGGAAAATATTAAATAAAATTAGAAAACATTTTTGGTCAATTTAGCACTGTCCTGGCCAGAAATACTTTCAGTTAATTAAATTTGTTCTCCCTTTGAGAAGACCTTCTATGTTGCAGGATTTAAATAATCAGATTAAGGATACTAGGAAGGTTTCATTTGACTTTATGAACATTTTGTATTACAAATTAGTATTTCAATTTCTACTACTGAAATATATATTTATATTGCTTTCTTTCTTTGGGGTATGCTTGCTCCCAATGTGGATGATCTGGGTGGGCATTTCTAGCTGCTATTTGCAACCTTCGCATTGGCATTGCTTGGATGTTTTTTTTTTTTAGTTTTTGTCATTTCACGCCATGGCGACACACTTGTGATGCAATGCGCCCGAAATAGTCAGTACGAGAATAGGTCTCTGAATAGGAATAGAAATGCTCTTCCCGTAATAAACCAACCTGCCTCTAATGCCCCCGATTACTTATCTTCCCCAGGTGCAGCGGCCCAACTGCGTCAGAGTGTTGAACGAGAATGCATCCGCGTGGTAGCACGTCATAGTGTCACCATCATATGCAACTAGAAACCAGCAGCAGCACCACCACCAACACCACCAGCACAAAACCACAGCCAAATCGAACGCAACAAAGCTTCCAGAGACAGGCCAAGACGAAGAGAAGATCCCGCTTCCAGGAGAAGTAGAGTACCCCCCAGCCCAAACTAAACTAACACTTTGTAGAACCAGTTACTAGAGACGCAGTTACTACCATGCAGCTCCTCCTCAAATCGATCTTCACCTGCGCACTATTCGTGATCTTCGTCTACGCCACTGCCCAGTCGCTGGCGAAGGTGCAGCAGAACGATGAGCGGTACACGCTCCTCAATGGAACGAGTAGTAGCGAGAGCAATCTCAGCCAGGGCCACTTCCTCAGCCGGCGGCTGCGGCAGGCGGGCCAGGGCGAGGAGGGCGAGCAAGGGGTGCCGGTGCAGATTGAAGACGAGAACAAGGACCCAATGAAGGCCGCTGGTCCGGAGGTGGAGAAGCTGCGCGAGTGCAGCCCCGGCCTGGTCTTGCCCCTATGGATGCCCCAGACCAACATCTCAATAGGCGACCGCCTCGTGCGCGGCTTCGTCTACTTCATGCTATTGATCTACCTGTTCGTCGGTGTCTCCATCATTGCAGACCGCTTCATGGCCTCCATCGAGGCTATCACCTCCATTGAGCGGTCGGTGGTGGTACGAGGTCCCCACAACGAAAAGCAGGTGATGCACGTGCGCATCTGGAACGAGACGGTGGCCAATCTTACGCTGATGGCCCTGGGCTCGAGTGCCCCCGAGATCCTGCTATCGGTCATCGAGATCTACGCCAAGAAATTTGAGAGCGGAGACCTGGGACCCGGCACCATTGTCGGCTCCGCCGCCTACAACCTGTTCATGATCATCGCGGTGTGCATGATCTGGATCCCAGCCGGCGAGGTGCGCCGCATCCGACATCTGCGAGTGTTCACAGTGACCGCCGCCTTCTCCATCTTCGCCTACGTGTGGCTCTGGCTGATCCTGTCGGTGTTCACGCCCGGCATCATCTCCGTGTGGGAGGCGATCGTTACGCTGCTCTTCTTCCCGCTCACAGTGCTTTGGGCGTACATTGCGGAGCGGCGGCTGCTGGTCTACAAATACATGGACAAGAACTACCGGGTGAACAAGCGCGGCACCGTCGTCGCCGGCGAGCACGACCAGGTGGAAATGGATGCGGAGAAGGGCGGTCCTCGGGCCTTGACTGCGACGCCCACGTCACGGGGCAACGAGGCGGAGGCGTTCGACGAGGCCCGTCGCGAATACATCCAAGTGCTGACCGAGCTGCGCCAAAAGTATCCCGATGCCGAACTCGAACAGCTCGAGATGATGGCCCAGGAGCAGGTGCTGGCGCGGAGCAACAAATCGCGCGCCTTCTACCGCATCCAGGCCACCCGCCGTATGGTCGGCAGCGGCAACCTGATGCGCAAGATCCAGGAGAGGGCCCACAGCGACCTAACCGAGGTGAAGGCCCAGCTGCACCCGAGCGAGGACGATGACGGCGACGAGCCCACCCGCGTCTACTTTGAGCCCGGCCACTACACCGTCATGGAGAACTGCGGGGAGTTCGAGGTGCGCGTTGTCCGACGGGGCGACATCTCCAACTACGCCACCGTTTCCTTCGAGACCCAGGACGGTACCGCCTCTGCCGGCACCGACTTTGTCGGCAAGCGGGGCCAGCTCAACTTCCCGCCCGGCGTCGACGAACAGCGCTTCCGCATCGAGGTCATCGACGACGACGTCTTCGAGGAGGACGAGTGCTTCTACATCCGACTCTTCAATCCATCGGAGAACATTAAACTGGCCGTACCGCAGATAGCTACTGTCATGATCCTGGACGACGATCACGCTGGAATCTTCGCCTTCACGGACTCGGCCTTCGAAATCTCCGAGTCAGTGGGTCTTTACGAGGTAAAGATTATGCGTTACTCGGGTGCCCGCGGCACAGTGATCGTGCCCTACTGGACGGAGAGCGGCAGTGCCATGCCGGGTAAGGACTACGAGGACGCACATGGCGAGCTAGTTTTCGAGAACAATGAAACTGAGTAAGTCTCCAAATAGTATAGATTACTATATCTACTTCATATTACACATTACATCATATTGTACCATCAAGTGTTCTTAAAATTTTAGCAATTGCAGAACTACGCATTCTATAGATTTGTTATAGAAATAGTTGCTAATAGCTTTTAAACCAAACTGAAATTAGATTCCCTAAAGCAAAGAAATACCCCAAAGATATAGAGGGAAAACCTTACTAGTCCTTTTGTGTTAAAGTCAAGCTACAAAATATCCTTTCTCATTGATGGCATTAGCCAACTTAACCCCAAACTTGGTGACCCAAAAGTTTTATTTCGATGTGCTAACAGAAACCTAAACTGGGCCAAGTTGTATTCCTACATGCCACCCCTACATGCCTACATGCCTGTTTTTGAAGCGGCACATCCCAACAATCGATGTCACGCAATGCGACCGATATCCCGGCGGTATCCTTCGGCAAACTCGCAATTTCCGCCATGGGAATAGTCAGGTCGACGGTGCGTGAGCGAATGGCCCGCGAATCGATTAAAGTCGGAATAATTGGGTCTTTTAATTGCCAACTCTGCCAGCTGGCAGACGGCTTTCGCCGGAGTTGTGCCAAAACGCCTTCCATCCTCCATGAATCCATTATGCCTCCAAACAAATACATGTACATATACATCCTGCTGTGTGCGGCGGCCGTAGCCGGTGGCCCAATTGTCCTGGCTGGCGGCGTGCTGGGCATCCCCACCAGACATTAACACCCCACAGATACGCCCGAAGTTGTAATTAATTTTGCAAAATTTATTCATTTTGACAAACATTTGGCAGTCGACAGCCGCTCTCAGTTAACTGCTTTTGCATATGTTTTTGCGGCTTTCATGGGCATGTCCGAAATACCCCAAAACACGCAACTTGGCCACATACATACGGGCCAGTCCTACATACGTTATATACATGCGAGTCTATTAAAGTCATTCCATACCAGTTTTTGGTCCGGAACCCTGGCCTTTGAAGATGATTTATGGCCCCGGCGAATGGCCGGCATATGTTGGGAATTAGGCCGCCCGAAAATCTGGCAACAGGGTTCAATTTGATGGGACTAATCATGATTTACTTGCTGACTTAATTAGTGCCCAGACAGAATCTCTTACACTCCCAAAAAGGAGAAAAAACTAGAACCGACTTGAGATTCGAATGAGAATTCGGGAAGACATAGCCATCATACTGTGGCCCATATATACTTGAGAGTCGAATGAGAATTGGGGAAGATATAGCCATCACTGTGGACCCTATAGGAGCAAACCCCATTTTCAAGGAATCCCATTACGAAAAATTGACAAAAAATCTAAAAAATATTTTGTCTCAGGATTTTGATGCAGAATTGTGGCAAATCGATCCAGAAATCGTTTAAGGTACTCCGCTTGAGAATCGGATTATGATTGGGGAAGATATAGCTATTACCGTGGACCCTATAGGGGCAAACCCCATTTTCAAGGAATCCCACCACAAAAAATTGACAAAAAATTTAAAAAATATTTTGTCCCAGGATTTTGATGCAGAATGGTGGCAAATCGATTCAGAAATCGTTTAAGGTACTCCGCTTGAGAATCGGATTATGATTGGGGAAGATATAGCTATCACCGTGAACCCTATAGGGGAAAACCTCATTTTCAAGGGATCCCATCACAAAAAATTGACAAAAAATCTAAAAAATATTTTGTCTCAGGATTTTAATGCAGAATCGTGGCAAATCGATCCAGAAATCGTTTAAGGTACTCCGCTTGAGAATCGGATTATGATTGGGGAAGATATAGCTATCACCGTGAACCCTATAGGGGAAAACCTCATTTTCAAGGGATCCCATCACAAAAAATTGACAAAAAATTTAAAAAATATTTTGTCCCAGGATTTTGATGCAGAATGGTGGCAAATCGATTCAGAAATCGTTTAAGGTACTCCGCTTGAGAATCGGATTATGATTGGGGAAGATATAGCTATCACCGTGAACCCTATAGGAGCAAACCCCATTTTCAAGGAATCCCATTACGAAAAATTGACAAAAAATCTAAAAAATATTTTGTCTCAGGATTTTAATGCAGAATCGTGGCAAATCGTTTAAGGTACTCCGCTTGAGAATCGGATGAGAATTGGGGAAGATATAGCAATCACAGTGGACCATATAGTGGAAAATCCCATGTGCAAGGGATCCCATCACCGACCTACCAAATTTCAAAGGGATCGGTCGACTGTATCCTATAGCTGCCATATAACTGAAAAATCGAAAAAAATATTTTATATTTGGTAAATATACGAACTTTAGTTTTTTTTAAAGAAGCTTGGGAAGTTTTTTCAAGTTCGTCTCCGTCCGAAGATAGTTTTCCTTTCTTGTTTTTGGTTAGAAAGCACAGCCATAGTAGAAACCTTTTCTCTATGTGCAACTAGAGTTCATTATGGGCGGCAGGCAGTCCTTCTGCGGGGAGTCTGTCCCTTCTCGCCACAATGGCCCTTTTTATCCCTTGCCCCAGGCTCTTTCGCGCAAAATTGTTTGAAACACGTCGCATGAATTTTTGAGGCTGTCTCTGCATTATTAAGTAATAATGTAACGAAAGCGGAAAGGACAATTAGAGGCCGGCACGTTTTTGTTGCAAGTTGGAGGAAAGCTCTGTTGCATCAACGGGGGAAAACTTACCGGAATTAAGTGGCAACGACGCCGTGCGGCATTATTTCCCTGCACGACTTGGGCATAGTATGTGTGAAGAAGATGGCGTGTCCGGGTATGTCCTGGAGTGTCCTGGCGAAACGCTCCCCGAGTGCTCGTTAAACTGGTGCTGGAGTCAGTGCTTAAACTGTTTTCCCATTCGCAATGACAGTTGAAACACTTTTTAATGTCCTTGTCCAGGACATAGATGCAATTGTGTCCTGTGTTCTGTCTGTGCGACAATTATTCGGCAACTTTTAAAACGTTTCATTGTCGCCACTGCTCCTGGGTGAGTAAGTGCACGTCCCTGTGATCCTGTCGGGTCTTTTGTGTAGCGTTTACAGCCACTCAAGTTGAAGGGAATGCTTGCTTGAATGCCTTGCGGTGCCATTGGTAATAATGTTTGTTTTAATGCTGCCAGTTCTGGTTGGCGAAATGCCAGCTCCCACACACATCGATGCCACCTCCGGGCCATCGGCACACGCTTTCGTCCTACGTCCTATTCCTGCGAGGAAATGGCAGTGCCATAAACTAGGGCTGCCTCTGCTCCTCGCAATTAAACGTGTTTTGATGTATTTTTAAATGGCCATCACTTTAAACGGTTGCTTTAAAATGGACCAAATTTAATTTCTGTCCAATCCCCCGGCTTTGAAGTTGATGCAATAAAGGCTGGGGCCTTTTTGCCAGTAGGCCTGCTCGCTCGCTTTTCTCTTTAATGAAAATCAAAATCCGCCCCTGCCCGGCACACCCACGCCCTCGCAGATACTCACAGACATTTACCGGCTTTCAGCCAGTTTAGTTTTTAGCGGAAATGCGCAACAGCAGTAGCCATGTAGCCGGTCGTCATAAAAAACAGCAGCGGGACCACAAGGAGCAGGAGCCGAGTCAGCAGCAGTAGGAGCAGCAGTAGTTGCGGGTAATGTCATAAAAAAAATCTGAAGAGGCGTGTGGGGCCGAGGGACCTGGGCTACAAAGTGCCAACACTGTTGCATAAATTTGTATAATCTGCTTGGGGCTGGAGTTGCGGACATTTAGATTGAGTTATAGGGCCTTAAATAACCAACACTTGCAACGCTGCAGAGTGGCAGAGTGGGCAGAATGGGAAAAAGTAAATGTATTTGAAAAAGCATTGCCTACTTTGGAGCGCCACTCTTCGGAGGATACGCCTCGGGGATACGGGGGCCAAAAAAAAGCAACGTTTCCATTAGTTAAACCAGACAGGTTTCCCAGACAACTTTGCTGTGCGTGGCATTTGTTAATTAGCCGTAATTTAGGTGGCTTGCCACATGGCCTAAATGCTGCTGCTCCTGGTCCTCCTAGGAGAGAGGCGACATTAAGGATTCACTTTGAGAGCTAAAGACTTTCGGATTCTGCTTCACCTTCACGATTTTTATTTTTTACGGATACATAGGCAAGCCAGAGCACATAAAAGTCAAACATAAAATATTTACAAAGGCACTGTGCAAAAACTGTAAAGATACGAACAAATATTTTATTAAGCACACATAATCTAAAATTGAAATTTATGCTATTTCCAGTGGGGCATAAAGGGGGCGGTGGAGGAAATCCAACCAACTTACAAGTTATCATCGTCGTGTGCGGCTTTTGCTTTCACTTTTCATGTAGCATTTCCTGTGGCCGGCGGGCAAATTCCCGGAATGGCCCAGCTGCTTAACTGACTGACAAGTAAGCGAAGTCTGCCTCCAAGTGCTGGCTGCCTCCTCAGCTGCCTCTGCCCCCCGCTCGCAGCGTGTCTCCCTTTGTGGCAAGATGCCTAACTGCCAGCCATTTCCCATCCATGTGAGCGTGAAGAGGGGCAGAAACCGCAGTGCCCCCGCCTCGGCCACGACCAGGCCCATTGGGGGGCACTCAGGCACTCTCCAAATCCCGGCTCGGTTGTCAGGACTCTGCCAACCTGGGAACAAGCTCCGCAACAAGCTGAATCCTTGCGGGAATATTAACCGCGTCAGTGTTGCCAAATATAGAATACGCGAAGCTCACCATATCTAATACCTGCTTTAAGCCACAAAAAGACTTGAGTTTCTTTAGATATTTTCCAGCTGTTGGCCGTATTTATTTGGCTAGAAAGTCTCCAGCTTGGCAGCAAACTTTAGTGTCTGCCAAGAGGCTCCTAAAAGCCTTGATAGGATACAAACTGTGGCTTTCCATGTGTGTTCCTTTTAAAGCCCCCACAAATACAAAATTTATTTACGGCTTAGAATACACATCGAAGAGAGTCGGATAGACGGAAAATAGGGTATCTGGAATTCGATCGGGCCAAGAGGCCAAAGTTTCTTATTTGCGATTCAATTTGCTTTGGGCCTC